TGTGAAATACGCATACATTAGCATGCTTGCTTGGTTTCACATAATGTGTGACATAATTCGGTAAACATTTTCCCATATTACTAGGGTTCTTCGAAAAAGCACAAGGCCCAGTGCAAAATGAAAATTCAGTCTTTTGCTAAAATAAAAAGATTAAGAAGGACAAAATGGCAAGGGCAGAGCATTAAACCAAGCGTGGGGCCCTTCTGAGTATGGGGCTCCATGTGACTGCACAGGCCACACGCCCATAAATGCACAGACAGTAGGCTTTGAGAACATGTACTCTAAACCAAATACCAGAGCTGAATAGCACATGGTTTGCCCAAGATTTGACTTTGGCATGTAAACAGCAAATGGAAGAGTTTCATGTGCACCGCTCAGGTCTGAGTCCTCTTGAAACACCAGCTTTGTCTTTGGAAAGGGCTTGGGCTGTTTTCTAGCCAGGGGTGACCAGAGCTAAGCACTACCTTGGTCCTTCTCGTTCACAACAGAATGTTCTCTCTGGGCTGGTCATCTCCTGCCAAAAGTCACCAGAAGCCAGTTGGTGGAGGAGCTCCTGGAACTTCTTCTGCTTTATTTTCAATCTAGTTCTAATGTCCTGGGCTAGTTCTTCCTGACCATCTGCCTCTCACTTCCCAGCCTTTGCTGCCCCATCGATACCCACACCCCAAATCCAGCTGTGGGCCCACCCAAGCCATTGAGTCAGCCTAGCCTGGGGCACAGGCATTTTGTCTTTTGTCCTGGTGCTATAGGAGAACAATGGAGTTTCCGGAGGGAAAATAGGAACCAACCCCGTTTACTCCTGGGGCTTAGTTTTCCTGGAGACACATAGCTTAGAAACGATTCCTTCCCACAGAAAACCTGGGGCAAGATGATAACTGTGGATCCTTACTGAGGGCTTATTCTTTGCATCATGCTTCACATGTATTCAATCTCCACAGGTTACTCATGCTTCACATGTAACTCTTTAAGCTATAAGGTAGGTGCTATTAATAGCTCCATCATTCAGTCACGGAAAGCAAGGCAGAAAGGTAAATTGCCCAAGATCTGAGAGTTGGTAAGTGGAAGAATCAGAACAGGGATCCCTGCAGTCTCGAGTTCTAGAGACACTGTTATACCTTACTTCAAAGTTCTATCAAGCCTTCTGGAAGGATGGGCAGGGAAGCCTAGCAGGCCCAGTACAAATAGAGGCAAAAATCCAGGAATGTGGCCCTCTTGTTGCCTCCTGTTTAGAGCAAAGCTCTAAAATGTAGCTTCTGGAAATTTCTCAGAGTAACAGGGTTGAGGGTCAAACTGGAGAACCGTCTTTCCATATAGTTCATCAGAGGCAGGGGACACAGATACACACACACACACACACACACACACACACACACACACACACACACA